CTCTGGTGGGGTGTACGTCAATTTGCTCAGAAACCCGCAACACGGTGTAGGTAGCTGCTTGTTGAAAGCACACGAAATGAAATTATTGTTTTTTTTTAAACTTTATATATATGTGCATATATATTTGGGGAAACAGATTACTAATTTGATAGCCTTTCATTATAACCTAGATTCCACAAGGCAGAGTTCAGCTCATAAAGAAACCCGAGCTTAATAATTCTGTAATTGACAGAACGTACAAGTAGCTGTAAATCGGTGTTGACTAAATTATACCATCGTTCATTTTCATTGTCATCATTCTTTTTATTGGAACTTTGAAGTTCAGAGTCTCATTCGAGCACACAAAAAATGTGAAAATATTTTAGTGGATTTCTTAATATAAAAATGAAGTTTAGTCCTAACAACATCACTTCCTAAAATTGTGAAAAACGTGTTAGAAATCTTATTTTATTACGCATTCTCATCATTGTTTGTCACATTAATTATACATATTCATGAAGCTTTATTATTCATACTTTTAACTACTCATGGTTTGATAAGCGGGCTGTCAGAATCTTTTAACAATAAAAAATAATTGTCTTCCACAAAATTTAAAAAGTAATTGCTACTGTTGTTATACTTATCACGTCACCCGAATTTTCTTCGTCAGAAATAAGACGTTCCGAAGCTAACAATGTTGCACGGAGGATGGGAGTAGATAAATTAACTTTATTTGTAGCTGTGGTCCAGACCCGATAGTGCATGGTAAGCATTAAGTTACTATAGTAAGGAGTAGGTCAACGCTCAATTGCTCCATTGGAATCTAAAGTTGTAAATCACTTATAAGTGAGTAAGAGAAATAAGTTTTCGTGTACATACTTTCTATTCTGGTCAAGAGATCAGCATAGCTGTTCCTCTACAAGCCTCAGCTACCAGACTAAGGTTTGTGTTGTTGTTGTTGTCTTGGAATAACTGATTATTTGAATATAAATTTAATTGTTTCGTTTGTTTCATATAATTAACTTTGACGGAACTAGTAAGACTTCTATGCAGAGTTCAGTTTTACTGAGGGGTTAATCGCACTACATATGTTAATACAGCCGCGTGTAGTCGCAGGTGCGAGCCGTGATGTCAAGGGCAACATGTTTAGCACCTATATATTTTGGTTCACGGTGAATTCCCGACAATTTGATAATGCAGTGCTGCGTCCGCAAAAGTTTATCACAGCTTTTTAAGCGGAAAAATATTCGTAAACAGTACTTAATTTTTAGGAAAAAGAAAGGGTAGGGGATACATGTTGACAGGGATAATCTGGAGTTGAGGAAGGTGACTTAAACGTTACTGAAGGTACTATATTATATGGCCTGGAAGGAGTAAAGCAGTTGACTACGTCAGTCAAATGTCGATGGTAATGCTTACCAGGCAGTATTAAGGTTAATTATAGTGTTTCCCCGTTTAGGTTTAAAAAAAAACTAATCTCAGATCCGGCAAAAATTAAGAATTGTTCTTCATTGAGGCGATTTCTGTTCTAAACGCTCTTCTGTGAGAGTTTTCCGCTCTCGCAGAAACCACAAAGAAACCTATCAGGACGAACGTCATCAACCACAACGATTACGAAAGAGGACCTTCAGACCCCCCCCCCCTCCGCCTCAAAAAAAAAGGCCATTGTGATGAAGTTGGTCATATCTCCTGACACCATTAACAAGATAATAACCAAGTATTTTAGGTAAATTACAACTCTTCTTAAACTGCACAAGCTACTAGTCATATCTCGAGATCAACGGATATTTGCACGCGAAAGATGGAGGATAAAACACTATAATTTCGGCAATTCCATTTGCCCACATTGCATCTCAAGAACCCTCAGTGCAGTTCCAAAAGATGTATACGTCACTGATCTGCTTAAACTTGGTCTTGTAATCCGACGTCCGCGTACTGTGGAAGGTCTGTAGAAAGTCTACCTAGATGTATGGTTAAAGATTGACTCGTCGTCCTTTGCAAAAGCTTCTTACAATGGAAATTGTAATGTCAGAGAATAAAACCTATTCACTATCGTTAGATTGAACACGATCGAAATGGAGAAAGTAGTTCCAAGAGCGGCACAGGATCTGGTACATCGTTATTATAAAGTACTATTAACCCTGAAGTCTCGATAATTTTGTATCCTTTATATAACTATACTCGAGGGCCACATGTACTCTTTTATTTAATAACTTGAAACAAATATGTAAATTCGCTTGTAAATGAATAATCTTCATTACCATTTTGTTGTTTTTTCGTGTTCAACACAAACTGTAATTTTCTTTAATCATTGTATCGTTTTTTCGTGTTCAACACAAACTGTAATTTTCTTTAATCATTGTATCGTTTTTCGTGTTCAGCACAAACTGTAATTTTCTTTAATCATTGTATCGCTTTTCGTGTTCAATACAAACTGTAATTTTCTTTAATCATTGTATCGTTTTTTCACACAATACCAGAATTTCTTAAGAGTAATGTAATATTTAAAGAAAACGGTATTTCACAGGAAAACTAAGACCAAAAGACGAGAATTGCTATGAAAGCTATGTTGAAAGTGTAAGTTTTGGCTTATTTTTTCTTTGCTGTCAACGTTCTTTTACAGATTAACGAGAGAACTTTGCCTATCAGCTGATATCTTATTAAGAATAAAAAATCGTAATATCATATCGCGATATTCAGCAAATAATATACTAATTGTTTTGAAAATGAGCACACGAAAACAGATCCGTGGGTGGAAGTTACGACTAGGTCGCGCGGAACAGTACCGCCTCTCAGAAAGCGTTACGAGGCTGGTGTGACACGACCCAGGAAAGTAGGGAAGCGCGCGCACCATCACGAAGTGAACGAAACAGCTTTTAGCCTCTGTCATGAATAATAGTATCAGAGGGGCTAAAAGTACTGAGTAAACTTGAGAGCACACGTACTCGTGCTATATCACCCCTCCACCTAGTTTATAACACTTTCCAGAGGAAACTAACTCTTCTTGGTAATAATTTTAGGCTTTTCGTAGCGGTATTGCACTGTCAGATAATCTGAAAGAACAGGTTAATTATATAAGTAATTTACGACTGCACGTTTAATCATGGAAAATTAGAACCATTAAACATCTTACATCAGTCACAACAACAACAACAACAAAAATTATTGCAGAGTAAAAAAAAAGGAAAAAATAATAACTCCATGCCATCCCGGAGACTGAGCGGCAGATCTGAGGGCTTATAATGCTAAAAATCGGGTTTCCATGCCCGCAATAGGCAGACCACAGATAACTCATTGTGTAACTTTGTTCTTACAAACGAAAAACTTTGTTATTCTTTTTCATAAGCACAATTTATTATCGTTTGTTTGTGTTTATGTAACTGAACATAATTAGAAATATGAAACGTTTCATTCGTATAGCTAATTGTAATAAAAGTCCCTGCTACTATAAAACATTGTGAACATGTTTTTCACAAACACAAATTTAGCTATCCTTCATATTTTACTAAGCTCAATGAAGATAATAGTATATTCATAAGTGTTTAAAAAAAATACAAATTATTTACCCCAAAGAAAAAGTTATCAAAAAATACAAACGGTCTCAGCATCCCTAAACTTCACGACAACTAACGTGCAAATGACATAATCAATTATGTCACTAAAGCTGATGGCAGAATTGGTTCCCGTCAACGCCAGACTGCCGCGTGCTTGTTCTACTTTTCTTTTTCTTCGTACTGGCGTTGATAACGTCACTAGACATAAAAGTGGCGGTACTAACTGTTGACCTGGTTGGTATTCACACCCAAATGTGATAGCTTTAGATAATACTTTTAAAATAAATAAAGTGGGAGCAGGACAAAAGTCATACATGACAATTTCTCCGATAGAGATTTATCTCGGGAACAAGTACAAAAACCAACATCGTTTAACAAGTATTTAATTAAATTCGCCATTCCCACTACAAAAAGTTGGCAATGTTAACGTACAACGTTCTGTTTTTTAAAAACCGACAATACGGGTTTTCACAATAATCCAGATAAAGCTTGTAATTCATGTAATACATCGAAAGAAATTCCGTGTATTTTCTACTGTAAGAAACGGAATCGAGTTAGAGAACAGAGTTTCGGAATGTAAGTCGTTGCGTGTGTTAAAAATTTTGGGATTAATATGTATATCCCACCCTCAGTGTCTTTTTTTTTCCTACAGAGAATAGAATAACATAAAATCTTCTATATGTTTTTTTTTACAGCGATGTAACTGTGAGGGTTTGTAAATTTCAAGTTATACACAGTGTAAATAAAAAGGAAAAGAAACACGTTTTGTACGTTAAGAAGCCTTTTACGTACAGTTCAACTCGAAAACTGTCTTCGGTTCTCCTATTTCTCTATATAATCAACACGATGTCGTCATTTGTAAACACTTTTTTAACAAAGGAAAAATTCCACTTTACCAGATGAAATACAGCAATAGTTCTCGTTCGATTATTCACACCTGTTCCATTCAAAGGTTCTTATTTCGTGAACGGAAAGAGGGAGAGAAACACTGTTTGTTTTGTTTGTTTTTTTCCTTAAGCAACAGATGATAAGTTACTCTAATAATTACACTTCCAAAACGACAGGAGTTTACTTATTTGAGTCGGCGTGTGTTTTTACACCACTAACTTTGGATTACAGCCAGCCCGTTGTTTACTAGTCAGTCACTGTGACTCTTCAAAGGCGAGACATTGTGAATATGCTTGTCTACAGTTTCACGGGCCAAACCCTTCACGTGGTATGGTTGGGCTGCGTGAAACTTACTGTCGTAACGTGTTAAAGCATGTTGGCTTGCAGAAAACCGCTCTGCGTGGAGATTGAGGATACGATTACAAGGTTGCCCTAACAAGGCCCGCGCCCATCCCAAGTAGGCTAACATTCCACACCCCTTAGTAAAAATAAACGCGTCTGAGCATCGCGCACCCGTGTAGGGTAGTAATGATAGTAATCGCCTAGTGGCGGCAGCGGGCCGAAACAAAGCCAGCCGACAGCCTGTGTAAGGCGCAGTGTAGCCGTGGATCTCGAAGAAGAGAGTATAGAGATTTGTTGTTCGATTTTTCCATTCCGAGTCGCGTTATCCGTCGTAGAGTACGTATACGACTGCTTGAAGAACGGACTTATTTAACCAGAGTTTTAGGCTGTCCTACGCGGCTTGCGTAATACTTTGAAGTCATTAGTTTTGACATTGTGATCTTGAAAACGGACAATTTGATTCATTTTTTTTTTACTTCTGTATGTTGACTTGAGCTGTAGGGGACCGAATCAATATATTTTTTTTCTCGGCAGTGTAGCAGTTTTTGTTAAACTGAAGTTTCAGTGGAGTGATAGAAAATACTAAAAACCAAAAAAATCGAGCATATTGAATAATAGACGTATAGCCGATACGAAATAACGTATTTCATATCTTTACACATTGTTTATTAAAACTAAATTCAGCGGGTGATGATGTGTTATGGACTTCGGAATAAACTATCAGGATACGAGAATATCACAGTGGTAAGTTAAGTTATCTTTGTTTTTCTTGTTCGCTTCTCTTCGTGTACCCTAACTGTGTATGCGTGCGATACAAGTTTGTTGGTTATGTGTAGTGAGTCTTTGTCAGGAGTGTAGACGTTTCTACATTTCTGAGCGGCGACTTAAAAAAAAAGAATTATGTGACATTAATACGTTATTAAATAATTTGTAAAATAATGCATTTTATACATAAAAACATTTGTCGATTTTAAAAAAGAACAGGTTACGAAGAAACCCTACAATCTTTTATTGAACTTTCATGTTTATTGTTTTATTCTAATCTGCAAATAAGTTAATATTTGACAGCTATTTGTTTGCTCGTTCATTAAAAATAAAAGCGTCAACTTTAAGTCGTTACTACCCCTAAAAATATTTAAAAGTTGTAAAATCGGCCACGGATACGATCTAAATGCGCCATTTACATGAAAGTTACGTGTTGCCGAGGGGATATACCATTAATTTTATTTTCCTCCAAAAGTAATAAGTACCCCCTCACATACAGGTTTCTGTCTACGACCGCAACCCCGTTTATAAATATATGCCTATGTTCGTGTGCTTTAGTGTGTTACTTATTACACTGTGGACGAAGATACAGGACCAGAAAGTCTTACTGTACAGACTTCTTTGTGAGGTAGAAAAAGGGGGCAAGAAACATTCTGTTAACACTGTTCTAATAGATAGTAGAATCCCTTGACAATCGCTCATTATAGTAATATGAATTGAAATATTTACGTGTAATATACAATAGCTGGTGTGAAGTAGACCTGTTTTTAAAAAGAAAAAATCTACGTGTAAACAAAACAGCTCAAATAAGTCTCGGTACTAGTACCGCCTTAAAGTTAAACAATAAGTTCCTGTACTTAGTATCGGTGAGTACCGACGGAATACACCCCTGTACAATACTATTACATTACATACTGAGTAGATATAAATATTAAGGTACATTTTTGTGAGTGTACAAAATCATAATTATTAACGAATATTTAAAAGTAATTAATTTGCAGAATAGGGAAAATCTACGTGTGTGTTTTGTATTTGATGGTTATGGTTAAATGTTGGGAAAAAATAACATATAAACGTCTGAAGTCTTATTACCCAAATTACGCTTGTATAACAGGTATTTTTAAATACCAGGCCGCGCAGGCGTATCTATTGATTATCGACTCGCATAAGAATCAACGTGTTTCCTCCCATAAAATATAAAGCTTATTTGTGTAATTTAAATAAGGCTATTTCAAATAGTTTGTTGTATAACAATACCTACATATTCATGTTTGTATTATTGATAAAGGTACTTTAGTGCATTTGTTTGTACCGTATGTTTGCACCGTATACCATTTATTTTTCAAAACGTTGTTAAGGTATATGTGTTACAAAGACTTATGTAAGTCTTAAGTATTGCAGCTAAGACAAGGCAACCCCCGAGTTCGTTAATGATGAATGGAAGCCAGCCAATCACAGCAGGAATTGGTTAAAAGTATCTTAAAGTGTCTTTAGCAGGAAGAGGAACAATTCGCACACCCAGAAAGAACAGAAATGACAAAACATCGTCATTATCTTTTCATCCTAACTGTCTGCAGTCGTAGGATACCTGCTATGAGACTGGTTCGGTGTAGAAATTTATAAAGTCAGTCTGTATGCCAGGCACCCAGCAAGGTGTACTGCACTCATGGTAATCCACCTACAGTTTAGTATTTGCATTTATATCAAATATATGTCAAGTGGGCCAAAGGCATTTGGTACAATACTTACTTTGCAAATTAATATTGCTTCAAATAACAGAAATTACTCACTTGGAACCAGATCCAACATTTTTCGTACAGGAATGCGACGTATATGATAGTGATGAAAGCATAGTGTGGACAAGAACAAGAAATGCTACAGGTGCTGATATCCACATCTGCATTTTACAGAATAGTGCCGTACTTATGGAGACTACACTCCACAGCTCTTTGTGCTGCCATATTCTGTGCAATTGGCTCTGCCTTCTGCCCATTAGATGGTAAGGCCCGACTTACCGACACATTCCTTCAATCCAATCAAGCACGTGTGCGATTCTTCTGGAGGATTCGTCACATTTATCCATGTGACTCCAGACTGCCCTATCTTCTGGAAACGGTTCTTTTAGAGAAGTGATCTTATCAACACTAATTTTAAGCGTTAAAAATTGGTGCCAGGCTACCCGTGATGACCATACTTTGTAATAAAGTGAAATGACAAGAACTGTAAAATCTCTTGTACCGAATGCTCAATTCCTACTATAGGCTGAATGACCAGTAGTGATTTTCAGATCACATGCTGGATCATCGAATGTCTGATTTACATATAAATGAACTGAGAAATTTACTAAAGGTGATAAGTATCATTCCTTGCAAATCACGTGTAGAAATACGACATTTGAAACGGTGAACAAAGTAAACAAATATGTTCTTTCAACTTTCGCTAACGATTGTTTCTTTAAAATGTTCGCGAAAAGTTACACAATGGCTATTTACACATAGTTGTCTCTATTACTGGACTGACGGACTAGAGAAGACAGCTAGCCAACAACACCCATCGACATCTCTTGGGTTAATCTTGTCTGGCCGAATAGTAGAATTTGACCGTCACTTTTATAGCGCACACCCATGGCCCTAAAGTAGAGGGCAAAATTATACGGTAATGGAACGCGAACGTAGACCCATTGGGTTCACAGTACGGACATCCAAACCATTATACTACACTCAGCCCATAAGCATTGGACCCTAAATTTCCTTCAGCGTTTGCACAGTTAATACCGTAACATGATTGTGCTGGCGGTGCCTGACGCCTTCCAACTGCCATCAGTTCGCAGCAGCAGTGCGTGATGTAAGTAAACGACTTATCGGTCGTTGTTCGATTCGCCCGTCTTGCTGAGGGGGCAACCTAATAATGAGATGCCTTAGTCAAAGTAAAAAGCCTTTCTTCCGGCGCCACATTTGATATTTAACGATGCATATATATACCTGTATTCAGTCCCACACGCTGCACGCTTGGTATAAATGTAAACGCCTGCATTTCAGTTATTAATAAGTCTTAAAACCATCGTCTCAGGAAATGTTTTATTTGTGACCTTTGTGTCCATTTCCCATGTTTTACACAGCTGGTGATCCACCTCATAGCAACACGGTCATTTATAATTTTCTTTAAAATACACACACACACACATACACACATATATGTATAGCACATGTGTGACATTTCGTCGATATTCGAATTTAAATCTTATGAAATGTCTAAATTTGAAGTTTTTGTTCATAACAAAGTGGTATGCTAATCTGTCTGTACAATGTCTTCAACGTGATTTTTAGAAACAAAATTGTGTCAATACGCAATCTTTAAATATCTCAAAAATCTTCCGATATCTCTAACGTGACTGGCTGACTTCCTTCCCGTTCTTTTTTTCTTCTTTTTCACCGTTTTCCACTCTGTAGTAGGGTTGTCGCGGGAAAAATCAATCAGTCTTTCTGTTAGTACCATGTCTGAAAAACGAGTGCGTCTTACAAAGACGAACGGAGTTGGGGGATGGAGCGTAGGAAGGCAAGGCCTTTTTCAGTCAGTCGCGTTTCTTCCAATATTCATTCTTATGCTAGTTCTTCGGTAAATCTATGTGGCTTTGTATCAGGCTCGGGGACGCCTGATTTGCGTCGCACTGCCTCGGGGTTTTGGGATTGCTGTCTGGAGTGTTTCGCCGAGAATACAGTGATGCAATTAGCGAGGAAACGAGTGTTCGCCAAGCCGTGAAAAGGGCTTCGTCAGACAAAAACCTCGGGTCTGGTTCTCTGCACATTGACATGTCACTGTATCAGGCGCTACCGAAGGATTCTTTGGACGGGCCTTCATTCGGTCATAAAGCCAAAGACCGTTCAAGATCTTTTCAGCAACATCGTGGCACCAGCTCGTTAGCACAAAACGGACTGCCCCGCATACTGGACCACACAAGGATGTTCGTAGTTATTCATGTTGAACACGTCCTTGAGTGAACAAGCTATGTTTTATTAATGTAGCCAATTTTTTATTCACTCTACAAACGTGGAAAAACAGATTCAAATCTTGTATAAGTCTTTCCTTTTTAAGTAAATATCCAGTAAAACTTTTCGATGCTTGCTTTAAGGATATCACGAATGTATAGCATGTGAATTAAATACGAAAATTGAATTAATAAACTTCTCACCATGGATATTCATTGTTTTGTTGAAGTGCCCTTGTGATGAATGATCATGTTGCCTTCGAAGAATTATACCATTTATATATATATATATATATATATATATATATATAAAGATTGCAAAAAATATGAAAATTGCGAGATTATGAACGAGTAGCATATTAAATCTCTTGGAATCTGACAATATCCTGTAATGTTTTCTACAGCTTTCATGAATATAGTTAATAAAATAAAACAACTACTTGCATGTTTTCTCAATGATTTTTTTTCTTCTCCTCCGCCTCTCTTGGGTAATATTGAATGAAATATATTAAAACACATGCTAAATATTTGACTAGTGGCTGCATGTATTATTTATTTGACTAGTGGCTGCATGTATTATTTATTTGACTAGTGGCTGCATGTATTATTTATTTGACTAGTGGCTGTATGTATTATTTATTTGACTAGTGGCTGTATGTATTATTTATTTGACTAGTGGCTGTATGTATTATTTATTTGACTAGTGGCTGTATGTATTATTTGACTAGTGGCTGTATGTATTATTTCTTGAATCGGCAAAGCAACTTTTGATGAAGTAAGAATATCTGTTTATTTATGTCTTCTTTTTTTTTTCATCTGAGGTCAGCATGAAATTTAACACTGCGGTAGTAACTAAAAAAGAACATAACCCAAAATGTATTTGTGTAACACTAACAGCGATTTCATCCCACCCTAGTAATAAGTTTCTTTTGCTTTATAAGGATTTTTTTACATGTACATACCTCGCTTCTAATTCTTCAATATTGTACCAGTATTACAGATGGTTGAGTACGTTATCGAAGAGCGATTTTGAATTTGCAAGCACGTGATAACCACAGCCGATATATAGCCGCGGTGTAACGGAATGTATTAAAACTACATTCTGACATTACATTTCGTAGAGAGTTTAATGTCACAGAAAATTTATCACTTTTAGGAAAGGTGTGTGTAAAAGCCCTTTCCAGCACGAAATATTCATACATTTATAGCATAACGAGCTGTTCATATTGGATATTTACAATATCTATATCTTTTACTCAATGAGATTAAAAAATGAAATATTATGAATCAACTTGAGAATCCAGAAAATTCGTATCTCAGCCGTAGTAAGAAATGTATGCCGTCTTGCAAGAGGTGAAAATCCACGTTCCCAAATCAACTGCAAAGCAGTATGGAACATAATCACGAAGTACCTCCGTCTGGAAAAGTGACAAGTCGTTTGTACACAAGTTTCTTCCACGATATATCTGTTCAACTTTCTGTTCTCAAGCAGTTGGGTAATGAAATGGATATTCATGCTATTTCATAGAAGGACGAACTGCCAAGTCGCAGGACACAGCACCTGTGGATTTCTGTACGATCGGACTTTTGAAACGAACGTTAGGAAACAGTCGTCCTCTTACACTAGATGGAAAGCAAGCAGGAAGGAGTGGTGTGCTTTGGACATAATAGCCTTACGACGGAGCAATGAAAAATACGTTGAAGGACTATCGTCAAATAGAGCATGATCGGACATAGCGACATTAACTGTAACGACGTGGTGAGCCTCCAAAATCGTTTTAATATAATATACTCCATATCTGGGAAGACTATATCACCATTACTCTTCAATTATTACTACCAAATACAGTGTTACGTTATGAGTATGTATGTTACCCCATATACTTAATCTTCCACTTGTTTGTGCAAGTACTTATATGCAACAAATTATTTTAGAAGTAAAAACATTTATTTTCCGAGATATTCAACAGACACTTGTGTTTTAAGAGACGAGTACGTCGATATTAATTAGGATTTTTTTTCCATTCCTTAGAAGATTGTAATAGTCAGTTAATGTAAATTTTTTCCTTAAAGAAAAGAAAAAAATCATAACACTTCGCTATTGGTAATGTGTGAACACTGCAGTGAAAGCTACATTCGGGGGGGGGGGTTGCTTGGCGAAACCATTTATATATATATATATATATATATA